GAACAGTGTTAGCAATCAACTTGTGATGGTTTGAAATCAGCATAGCCATGGTTCAAAGAAAGCACCTCTGATTTACCACAGATCTCGAAGAGCTTGTCCAAGGTATTTTGACCCAGGTCCAACATGGAGCCAGCAGGCTTCTTAGTCCACCATTGATGAATGGTATTCTGCACTTCATGCCTTAGTTGAAAGGAATTGCTAGGTAGCATTTGACAACAATTGAAAGACACCATATACTGTTCACAAAGCAACAACTTAACTGTTGACAAATCACATGTCCAACTTTGAATCACATGCTGCTTCATATGCTCATTGAGCATCACGAATCCACTTCCATTTTTTGGTCTTGGACAAGCTGGGCAGGAAGAGTAGCACATCCACACCACAAGCCTCCGTTATGGCCAGGTTGCTTGCTGGCCAATGACCATGACTCATGACAATGACAAAGTTAGTGTCCATAGTATTATTAGTGACATCATTCAAAATTCATTCACCCCTTCATGCAACCTGGCCACGTACAAGAGACACCACAGGGCTATGCCTGCAGCACTTGTGCGGTGGAAACCTGCGGCGCAATTGAGGAGGACCAGGTGGGCAGGCGATCGAACCAGGTGGCGCAAGGTTCTCCAGAATCGTTGGTGCTGAAATACCTCAGCGCCAAATCAACTGGATATAGGGTGATGAACTTTCTTCACATCATTGTCATTGGTTGTTGCCATGGCACATTTGTCATGACATCGGGAAAAATCCCCGGCTCAGGGCCGCCTTTGATCAGAAACTTGCCATTCTCCGTCTCCGGGAGCATGCGGCACAGGTCATGGATCGTGGTGCTAGCAAATCCACCGCCACAGAAGATCAAATCTCTTGGCCTTGTCACCTTCCAATTTCCAATGAGACCACGTTCCTGAGCTGAAATGACAATGACGACCAAGTGCAACTTCCAATATGCAAAATGACAATGACAATGACAAAATGCAAAATGACATAATTGCAAACAAAGCCACCTCATCAGCATTATCCTCGAACTTTGTACCCCAACCATAGAGCACAACCTTGTCAGGCCATCTGCTGCTACACCCGGCTTCGCGAAGTTGTCTCGCCCTGGACCGGAAATCCTGCAGCGCTGTTAAGCCTCAGTTGTCAGTTGTCAGTCAAACATTTGTCAAACCACTCATGGACCATGACAATGACCAATGACAATGATTATGACTAAACAGATACCAAGTGACTGTCCAATGTGGTTTCGGACAGCATTGTAGATCCAGCCATCTGGCCGTTGGATCAAGTGCTGCTGATTGCTGAACCGCTCCCTCAGTGAGGCAACAAGGCATGAGTGCAAATATGACTGCAAGTAAAATAAAGCAACAAAACACAGCAAAACACAGTAAAATAAACTTCTGACAATGACGACTCTGACAAGTTACACCAAATCCAAAGTCCCCTTGCGATCCAGTAGCCAGCACAGGTACAGGCTCTGCTGCGCACTCCGACTGAAGACTGCCGCAGTGGACACAATCGCGTGAGGCAACTTCGCCAAAGCAATGGAATCGTCGCGCATTAAAAAAAACACTGCCTGTCAATGTCTAGCAGTGATATGTCAGTGTCATGGTGTCATGACAATGACAATGATTTGACAATGTGTTTTTTCAATGATGATGTTGCATCTGCTTGGATGTCAGGCGTGTCTTGAGCCCGACTGCCAAACAATACCCGGGCTGAAGTCACGAGAACAATGACCAACTAAAGGGCTGGCGTGCTGAGCAACAAACCATCAGATCAGCAGGTTGCGGGACACGGCACCAAACACCTGAGAGCAGGCGCAAGAGTGACAGAATTCAACATAAGAAGAACTTAGTTAGTAGACAGTGAATAATAAAAGAACATTTTGTGAAAGACAAACTCATCTAACATCAAGTGAAATTCCAGCCTTGGTGTGAAATCACAGGTCTAAAGTTTAAGTACAATTTGAGTGACTGTGCCCAATGTTCAATCAGGCCAGGCCTGAGTCGTCGTCGATGGCAAAAATGACAAGGACAAAAATGCCAAGGACAATGATGCAACCTGGCAACACTCATGTATTTCACATGATCATGCTGTCTTTCACTTGGCCCGTCCTCTTTGGCGAATCCTCCTTGGCCCTGGCATCCAACATCTGCACATCCTCACCTTGGTAATTGAACTATGGCATCAAGCAAGACAGTCACAAACTGAAACAAACAGACAATGCCAATGAGTACTCATCAATGACAATGACAAAGGCAATTGAACTTCATCAAGGCAATCCACTAATGGCGGTGAGCATCCAGCCATTTTTTGATTTCATAGTCTTGATAACCTCGGCCGACACAAGCTTGTTCCTGAGGTTTGAAGCAACCAGACTTGCAAATTCATGAAATATTCAAGTCACATTAGCGATCCTGTGAGCAAATTGGAAAGTATCAAGATTCGAACAGCTCTCAGTGGGCACCTGCCATACAGCTGGAAGAAGAGGTGCTGGATGTTGTCCGCAATGTTGTGATCCTTGAGGATTTCCAGCCTTGGGGAATCAAATGAGCTGCAACTGTAAAGTTGAATCATGACTGTGACTGCTGGATGACTTTGTCACAACACAGCTTGTCATTGAAACCCAGAGGCAAAACAGGATCACGCTCCTCTGCCTGACAATGATCCTCCTCCCGATCCTCCTCCTTCACATCCTCCATGACCTCTTGCGGCTTTGCGGGGGGGAGCGGCCACATCACCAGTTGGATCCTTGTCGCAACATAAACACGCAATCATCAAAACCACCCCGCCATTATTCCAGTGAACGGTGTTAGCAATCAATTTGTGATGGTTTGAAACCATCATAGCCATGGTTCAAAGAAAGCATCTCTGATTTACCACAGACCTCCAAGAGCCTGTCCAAGGTATTTTGAGCCAGGTCCAACATGGAGCCAGCAGGCTTCTTAGTCCACCATTGATGAATGGTATTATGCACTTCATGCAATTGAAAGACACCATATACGGTTCACAAAGGTACCCATTGTTTGTTCCATTGATGATGAAGAACAAACACAAACAGGCCTGCTGGACACTGAGAAGGCAGCTGATGCACTGTAGCTCTGCACCTGGCGCACACGAGCTTCATGGGTAAACATGACACCTTGGTAAACATGACACCTTAAACAGCACGAATAGTTATTATTCATAAGTGATTTGAAAAATGCAATCCTCACCTGATCCTGCCTGGATGCTGATGGGTGTCCTGCAGCAAATAATAAATCAGTGACAATGATTTGGTGTTGGTTTGAGACGGATCAGTGTCACATTGATCAAGCCACACTAAACTTGCACATCATCACGACTAAACTAATTGGCATGACAATGATGAACATACTTGTTTTTCACCAAGAGGAGCACGAGCTTCACTTGTTTGGTGCCCGCCTTTTTGGGTACCTAACATCTACATTGCCCGCTGGCCTCTTCTTCACTTTAGGCTCATCTTCACTCCGCAACTCGCCCATGTCATATGTTGAGGATTGGGAAGTCTGTGATGCTGCCTGATGATCACCCACACCATCATCTCCCTGCTTGATCACCTGGATGCGCATCTTGTGGGTCAAGGCAACATAGGTCACCTGATGAGTCAGGACTTCAGTGGGTGACACTGAAGTGTGAATTGTCCTGAAATGACAATGACACCTGAAATGCTAACAAGGCCACAGTCAAATCTGCCACAGTCCCCGCCAAATTCTGAGACTTATCCATGATAGTGACAGTGAGTTACAATGGTTTGAGCTGACTGTGGCTGCAGAGTGACAAGTGACAATGAAGCTCAATCCCTGCCCAGTGCCAATCAGTCAGTCCTCCAGCCATCAAATCATCCTGGGCAGGCAGTGTGAATCATCAATTATGGGACTCCTACCACTCCGAAGTTCTAAGTTTCCAGCAGCCGGAAACAATGGAAGAACAGTTTTGAACCCAAAGGTGGCAACGATTGTGAAACTGACAGCTGACAATGATGTGAGTCGAAGACAATGATGTAATTAAACCACTGGAGCTCCCAAACTTTTCACTTTAAGTTGTAAACAATTTTAAACTCACCAGTTTCAAATTTCACAAAAAACATATACACAAAAGCAACTTTTGCAACTTGCAAACAGCCACCCAGTAAGTCTAGCAGCATGATAATAATCAAAAACAACACAAACCAAACAAGAAAAAACTGTCGTAATAGAACTGCATTTCCAACATCATGCAACCTTCTACATGCGACAATCTTGGTAGCTCATCAAGAACAACAAAGACGTTTTCAGAAATGAATTGAAACTGCGTCCTGCGCCACTTTGGCCAAACTTGGCTCGGTCTTCAAATGCGCAGAATGCCGATGCTTCAACATGCGCGCAGACCAGCCGACGACCGCCCGTCTTCCAGCAGGTGCTCAAAGGAAAAAGGATCTCCCAAGCCGAGGAGGGCTGCAACTTCTGATCTCTTTGCTTCGGAGGCTGGATGCGCAGAAAACGCTACCCCCCACAATGGCGCTCGATATGATTCAACAGTAAAATGGTCCGATGCCATGGGCATGCGGCGCATGCAGAACTTTGCATGTGTGCACACTGTGACCTTGCGACTGCTGAGACTACCATGAGGTTGAAGACAACTTGGTGGCCAGAACAGGCCCATCAATGTCTTCTCTGAATTCACACGGCCTTTTCGAGCCAATGCGGCGACAGTGGGCCGACATGAGTGATATTCAGCCAACTTGGAGCCAGCCGAGCGGAGCAAAACATCAACGAGGACGTACCTTACTCTGTGCCAGATTCACTTCGTACGGGTTCTGGACCCAGTCTGACCGAACCATGAGAAACGACCCGTGAACAAATCGACCGAAATCGACCAAACTTCCAATCAACCAAGTCACTGCCAGAACTAATCATACTATATAGTAATCATACTAAATCCCAAGAAACTCTCCACAACTCTCAAGCATCGGGGGGTCCCACCCACCTCGGAGGTCCCGCCTGGTGAATGCATTTCACCTGCCGCGAGGACAAGGTTCGCCCCAGGAACCGCCGCGCGTCCACAGTGGCCCTGAAGCTCCACAGCTCCTGGGCTTACCCGGCTCGGCGTAGGGCCAGCACCCCCGGGCACCCGACTCTGAGGATCATAAAGAGGAGACGGGAAGTACAGAGGTACTTATATGGTACTCTTCCATATCTTCTGAGGAAGAGTTACAGTTATCATATACATTCAGATGTATATATACTCTGTAGATATCTAGATGATGGCCACAAAAAACATATGTACCCGGGCCACTCTAGTCGTCTGCATCTGGGTGTGGGGCACGTCTTGATCTGTGGATATCTGTAGTGCTTGGCTGGTCAGTGCACCAAGCGCAGCGATCTGCTGATCGGCTTGCGCAGTCATCCAGTTCGGAACTGCACTGCACCTTCTGTGACGATGAGTGATCATGCGTGATGGAAGGATCTTAAACAGAACACCACCATTTTGCAACGAAACGCGCAACGAACTATATATAAATAATATAATGTCAAACATGTTGACAAGCGTTGAACGAACGAAGCCGCAGAGATGAGACAAGCATCAGCTCCATCTGTGCCGGAATGGCTCTATCAGCAAGGCCTTGTTGTGAAAGGGGGGGGTGCTTCGCACCCACCTAAGACAGGATCACCTCTCATCTCCTCTTGCTTCATGACTTCCATTCTGCTCTGATGGCAAACCCGTTGATTGTTTAGTAGGCAGTACTATGTTTCTGAGGATGATTGGGAGAAAGTGCTGGTGCATTTCCTTGTTCTAATTCATTCCAAGTCTGTATTTTAGTTCGGATCTTGGTAAATGCGAAGCGCCTTTCGTTGAATCCAAATGTCATATTAAAACTGGAATCCGGCTTCATTCATTCATGATGTTCCAACTGACCCCCCTCCGGAGAGTCCACTCATGACTGACTCATGGACTTCGGTCTACTCGCCCCGGTCATCGTCGACTGGCTCCTCGGAACAGCTGAAGGCCATTTCCAGTGACGGACACCCGTGGCCTCGGGGACGAGAAGGATGAAATCTCGGAATGACGAGGGAGAGGAACAAAACAGGGTCCAAATCACCTACTTATCCCACCAAAACAATGGGGAGGCTTTTGTACCAGATTCTTTCTTTCTGCTGTTTGAAAGGTCTCAATTTCTGGACATGAAGTAAGTCTTCCACAGCACGTGCTGTGGGTCCCCCGACCGCTGGTCGCCGAGCGAAGGCTGGAGACCTGGCGAAGCGAGCCAGCGACTAAGCCATTGATTACCAGCGGCTTGGGGAAATCAGGGAATGACTCTGTGGTTATGGAAAAAGCCTCAAGAGCGACCGACAAAAAACAGCCGCTCACGTTGTTCCTTGAGCCAAACGCAGGTCGTATTGACCGGTTCACCTTTCTCAGGTGTTCATGACCTTCATGAAAAGGTATGCTTTGGGTCGTGCGTTTTTCCATTCACACTCCCCCTATGCTGGGTCAATGAAACCAGCATACCTATGGGGATCCACCGTAGGTTTTTTCTTCCACGGCTTCACCCAAAAATTCAAAGCTTCCAGCCGATCGCGAGTCCTCGCCATCAGAATTCAATCCTGGAGGCCCCACTACTGGCGTGTTCACGCCCATCCAAACAGGCAAATCATCAGCTTGTGGCGGAACTAACCGCTCATCCTCCAGCGAGACCCTCCATGCCTCCTCATTCGGATCCTCCGCCCTCGATGAAGCGGACGGCCCGATCTCTCCCCTTTTCAAGCACCCAAGGCGCCTTGCCTCATAGCCGCTCACGGGGACACCCTCCAAGGTCACATTGACTCGTGCAGTGATTGCCGTGCCGTCATAGGCACGTGACATCTGAAATGAAGTGCCAGTTAAGGCCTCCACAGCTTTCCGACCCCTCTCCGCAGCATGCGAAGAAGTGCCGCCATCACCTCCATACCCTTCACGGGGTTGAGATCCTCCAGCTCCAGGCCACAGTGGCATTTGAGCCTGCGAAGGCATCGCTTCCTCGCCCTCCACAGTGCCAGCCTCTGGGCCAAACTTCTCGAAGAAGAACGTGTAGCCACACCATTCATAGCAGTCTCTGACATCCGAATTTCTGTTCTCCACCCAGTCATCGATGATGCATCGTCGACGCCAGGCTTCTCTTGTGCTCCCCCGGCTGAAGACCACGGTGATCCGGGTTGGCGAGAGACGTCCGATCGAAACAGGCGTCCCCCTATGGAGCGGATGGAACTGCCGCACCCTAGGCCTTTTGAGGACCCTCACCCACCAATCACCACTGGCGGTGCCACATCCAAGGCATTCCCACCGGTCCAGGCCAGTCGGCGGCGACACGAAGCGAGCAAGCTCCCAAGGCTCATCCGTTCCCAGGCCCACATGCCTAGGCGGAGGTTTCGTCGGCGGCGCCTTCATGGCGCACATCCGCATTCGGCCATGGCTACAAGGCGAAACAAAACCCTTGGTAACCCTCGGGGTGCCGGTTCGGCAACAGTCGAACGAAGTCGGGCGATCGACGGACGGGGAGGTGGTATAGGTTGTGTTCCTCCCGCATTCGATAGGGCCGGGTTCATTTTCCCTCGACCATCTTGATGTTGGGCCGGGTTCATTTTCCCTCGACCATCTTGATGTTTCTTTTGAATGGGATGCGTTAGACCTCTTTGTTGACTGGCCATCTGCCGTCTTCGAACACTTCTTGTGCACAAATGCCGTCAACGCTGCCAGTCCACACACCGATGCCGCTCGGACCGCAGTGCCCAGGCCTGGAGCCACCACTAACAGTCCCAACGCCACCGCCGCACCCAGCGCCAACTTCTTCAAGCGAGAAAGCGCAGGGTCCTCAGCAGACGCCTCCGGCTCCACCGAAACAAGCCCCACCGTAGAAGCAAATGATTCCCAGCTCCGAGGCACAGTGATCGCCTTGGTCAACAGGTCAGCGCATAGGTCAGCTCCAGGGATGTGCTCCGCATGCCACAACTTCATCTGCAGCCGTTCCCTCAAAACATGGCTGCGGAGCCGAAGATGTCTCGTCCGCCAGGGCCCGCTTGGGGCATGCAGCAGCTGCAAACCTGACAAATTGTCGCCTCGCAAAACATAGCAGCCTTCATGGGCCAGCGCATTCTGCTCGAGGACGTTGACAATCGCTCCAACACTTTCTCCCAGGGTGAGGCCATCAACATACCCCAGAAGTTCACATTCCGTTGTACTCAGCGTTGCAAAGGGCTGAGTCTTCGATTCCCAAGCCACCAAAGCACCACCCCACAGGCACATGATGCCCTGATGACCCTTTCCTCCAGTTGGTGCAAACGACGAGTCTGCCAACACCTCCAGCCTGGACATCGAGCTCTGCCGGCCATAGGAGTCCATCTCCTCGGAGCAGGGCTTATAGGCGAGCGCATAGTCAAGGGTGTTCATGAGGTACCCCACCACATGATGAGCCAACTTGAGCACTCTCTTCGGGCATTTTGTCACTCTGGAGCCCAGGTAGGAGACCGCAAAGCTCAGATCAGGCCTGGTGCGTGTTGATAGCCAAAGGAGTTCACCAATGACAGTTTGACATTTTCTCACATCCTCCTGAAGAATCTCGTTCTCCAGGTCCACATCATCCAGCTTCGGAAGAGGAACTTGGCGAGGCTGAAGGTCAGGATACCGACTAACAATTTCCCGCGTGTAGTCAGGCTGCCCCACCAACAACTCATCACCCTTCCACCTCATCTCTATTCCGCAAAATTTCAACCACTGGTGCTGAGTCACCCACTTTGGCTCAGCGCACTTCCACATGGTTGAGAGCTTCTTCAGGAAACGTTCCGCCGTGGGACGAGGCGCAGTGACAATGAAGTCGTCGACATAGGACAAAGCATACCCTGCCGTTGACCCATCATCCATCACCTTCACAAGTTCCTCCTCACCTCCAGGTGCAGTCATCAGTCGCCACACGTTGGGCTCCGGAGTGGGAACCACCCAATTGTGCACCCCATCCTCCCACCACCGCATGCTCTGCAGCGCTTCATCCCTGTAGGCCTGCCAGTCAGAGGGAGATGTGTCCAGGCCGTAGACCGCCTTCTCGATCACCCAGCGAATGTCAGGCTCGATGAGTCCAGCCTCTACCAGTATGGACGGCGGCTTCGTCACCATCAGCCTGGACGATTTCCGAGGTGCAAGCAAAAACGCTGTAGAGACATCAGTAACCCCGATGGACCACTTCTCCTGAGCCGCTTTTCGCAACGTGCACCTCAATGACATCCCATCGATGCCACTGGCATACAAATCAAAACTGCTTCCCATGGTCTTCTGTTGAGGCGGTTGGTCATCTTGACGATCCTCAAGGGCCATAGGTTGTTCTCGACGCTTTGAGGTGTCCTCCACCAAATTGCCACAAAGAACGATACGGGCTTTCTTGCGAGCATCCGGGGCCTTCACCGTCGGGACAACCTTCGATGGGACCACCAGCATCTCTTCATAGCCCGGTTCATTCACCAAATCCTTCACCTTCACAGGCCGAACAGCTGTCGTTGACGTTTCCAGCGATGTTACCTCGTTCTTGAGAGGCGGAATCCATAGTGGAAGATCTTTTCGAACCTGTGCTAGGGGCACCGTGTAGGTTTGCAGGACCGAGTGGACTGCCTGCTGCTCCGGCGATTGCGAGACATCAACAGCCATTGCCGCTATCTGGATCTTCTCATCATCGCCTCGCATGTCAGTCAACTTGTTCTCCATCTCCAAGACCATCTTCTCCACATAGTCGAGGATGTAGCCCTGCATTGTCCCCTCATCTTCACCTACCACCACATCCTTTGCGAGGTCCGACCATAGACGCTTCCAGCTCCAGTGTTCTTCTTCTCCATGTTCACGGAGCTTCAGTGCCTCGTTCAGCTCACACTCCACACGCCCCAGCATCACTTCATTGCCTGGAGTTTCGAATGGTGTTTCGCAGAAGCGACACTGTTCCACCTCCTTCAACTTGCCAATCACATACTCCCGCTGGTCACCACACTTCACCGGGAGCACCTGAAGACCGCATTCGCCACACACCCATGGTTCACAGTGTGCACCATCATCTCCTTTTCGAATTTCACCACCGTCACTGCTTTTCAGGAGGAGAGACTCCCCCCCAGACCAAACAAAGTGACGGGCTGGACCAATTTCTTTGTGCTCTCCCCCCAAACAGCGTTCAGCTTGAAGAGCTTGAAGGTGTAGATCATCACTCAATCTTGGTGCCGGAATCTGCGGCAAGCGCGGGTCAGGCGGCTGTTTCCCCATCACCCGGTGCGAAGGGCGCGACGGATCGGAAGCTTCCTGAAGTTCCAGAACAGCTCGATCAGCCATCGGGTCAGTGAGGACAACCACACGTGCGTGTTGAACTTGTTGACCTTCCCTCAACACATAGCCCTCCGTCATGAAAGGTGATGGTCCGAGGATGGTCATCGTGCGAAAGGGCGGAATCAAAGGCCCAAAACCAGCTCTATGCCACCTTTTGGTTTTCACAGTGACACGGGCTCCAATTGGCATCAGCGGCGTGCAAGGGACTCCAAGCTTGGCGCATTGATGCCGCAGTCTTTCCTCGCCAACATAGCGAGCGATGCCAGGCCACAGCTCTTCACCAAGGCCACTTTCTCTGACCAACATCCGAAGCCGTCTTTTAACCTGCTGCACCTCTGTTTCAATTCTCCCATTTGAGGGGCCTTCATCACCCCCCGTCATAGTTTGGTAAAGGCCAAATCGCCGGCAGAAGGACTGGAACACCTTGGAGAAGAAAGCGCACTCTCTGTCGGTGTGGACACGGATGATCTTCAGGCCCATCGCTTTGAAGCGGCAGTACATCCTTGTGGCCACCTTTGTGACATCATGTTGACCTCTCGACTCCAGGGGCTCCACCAGTGTGATATTTTGAACTCCCACAGGCGCAGCCAGATCATCAATGTGCTTTCTCCAGCCTTCATTGAGAGCGACTGCATCCTCCTCCGCAACCCGGACCTCATCTTCGACTTCATCAAGCTGAGGCAGAACCTGTTCGCCAACTTCTTGATTGGCGGGATCTCCATCGCCTCCTTGATCGGCAAGACCTTGTTCACCATCTTCTCGATCGTCAGGGCGGTCTTCATCATCTTCTTGCGGATGATCTCCATCTCCCCCCAAACCACGAGGCAGCTTTGGAATGGCCACCGTTGCCACCATGATGTACTTCGCCTTTGTGCTCAAGCCCACATCATCTCCCAGTGGCATTGGTCCCAAAATGTCATAGGACAGGCAGTAAGCTGATCGATCTCCTGATGTCCTCCGGTGCGGTGCATCCACGCCCATCAGCTCCATGCATCGCCGACAATCCCTCCTGTAGGGTTGGTGTTGATTTCGAACATGGGTTTTCCAACTTTCCATGCTCATTCGCTTCACTCCAGGTTCGCCGTGGTGCACAATCTCCTCCGCATTCCACCTGCGCCTGTAGTCCAGGAGGAAGTTCTTCAAGCACTCCTTCACCGCTGCCACCAAGCCCGGTGCCCAGGACGACCACTCCCTCGATTGAGCCAGTCTCCCAGTGAGCGATGTTGCTTCAACTTCTCCTCTACCTTCTCCGGACACGCCATCTAACTCCTTCATCTGTGGGAGGTTGGCGACCATCAAACATGTTGGTTTTCTCTTGACGTGGCCCATAGGCCCTTGATCCATGGTCAGCAAGGATGCGCCCATCAGCTCTCTGGCCTTCTTCACTTCCTCAAAGTTCCAGAAACTCGGCATGTCCTCCTTGGTGGCCTCAGTTGACATGTAATCCATGGGGTCTCTTGGTGACTCCATCAGGAATCCAGGTGCTGGTCGTCCTCCACGATGCTCATCAGCGAGGAGCCACAGACCAATCTGTTTCATCATCAACGCACAATCGCTGAGGGCAAGTTCCTGCTCTGGCGAAGAAAGTCCCTCCAGCATGAATCTGCGGTCATCTCGACCTCTCAAAGGGCGTGGACCCGGAGCTCGGTGCCTCAACCGTGACACCGTGCGGCATGGCGGCCCTCCCAACACAGCAACGACCAAGCCTCGTCGAGCTAGATGACATAGGTAACCCCAAGTTCCAATGCCATGGAGGTCGAACTGTGCGCCCATCGTCACGTCCACATTCAAAATCTCGAAGCCACCCCAGTCCGTCTTAGACCAACTCTTATAGTCCTTCCCGGCAAAGAGGTTGACAATCACACCACGAGACGCCAGGTGTCGTCGCCGCTGACGTCGATTCCAGGGGCAAGTGCAAGCATCAAAGCTGTCCTGGCCCTTCATGAACTCCCACACCTCCGCAGGGACCTCAGGGAATCTTGATGACCACCATGATCGTACTTCATCATCAGTGAAGATCTCCCCCCGATCTGCCTTCTCCATGGTGCTGAGCAACTCCAGCGCCTTGGCCTCAGGTAGAACCGGACATCCCCCACGAAGTGCGCAGTCAATCCTGCCATGATCAGGGTGATTGATCTTCACTCCAGCCGCCGTCCACTGAAGCCGATACCCCAGGCCCACCAGTCGATGGAGCGGGACAATGACCTCCACGTGGTCCTTGGACAGCAAGGTCTTGTGGTCATCCACCCTGAACAACGTCGTTGACCCTGAGGCCAACTCCACCCTCACCGGGTACATCCTTTCCAGCTCCTGCTCATGTGCTCGACGAAGACCATTGGTCGCCCCTCCATCCAGCAATCCAACAGGTGCCAAACCATCAGTGCCAACCGGCTTCAATTCCTTCACACGAAGCACCTTCATGCTCCGAAGTGTCTTGAGCAAAGACGTTGCCTCCGACAGCAACTCTGCCGTAGTTTCCCGACCCAGTGGCTTCTCAGGTGTTCCTGCCATTCTCGAAGTGGTCGTGGTAGGAGGCGGCGATGACCCCGGAGACGGCTCTTCACTTATGGGCTGCTCCTTGGCGATCTTCTCGACGATCTCCCCCTTCTCTCCTTCCTTCGTGGCCTTCACCTTTGAGACCTTCTTTGGATCAGTCTTTCCAGTCTTGGGTTGGTGAGGACATTCACGCTTCATGTGGTTCCCACCGCAACCAAAGCACCGGTTCTTCATATCCGAGGTGTCGTGGGCATAGGTGCAAGATGTTCCCCTCCTGCAGCCTTCCTCCGACTTCCAGAACCTGCAAGCAAGCCTTCCTCCTGCTCGCTCCTCATTCTCAGCCGCTCCAAACGACGATGCCATGGCCTTCAGTGACGTCGAGACCGCTTGATTGGACGAGGCCGCCGGCTGAGCCAGTGGTGCACCACCCTTCTGAGCTGCAGTGAGGGACATTTCTTCGATCTCCGCCTGCACATACTCAGCTAGCTCAGTGACTCCTTCCAATGAAGCTGCATAGTCAACTCGGAGTTCTTGACGAACATTTGAAATCCTGAATGACACCTGAGTGCCGCCTGCTTTTTGGGTGCTGTCGATCATGCGCTGCAGGGCGTGCATGAGGACCAGAGGGTCCGGAAGGTTGAGGTGAAGTTCTTGAGCACGAGATAGCCAACGTCGCCACAACCGGACCTGCATCAACAATTCTCCCACCGATGTGGAGAACTTCGACTCCACTAAATTCTTGAGGAGTTGCGTTTTTTCAGCGCCGCCTCCTGGCTGGTACGCCACATGGAGCCGGTACAGGATGTGCACCACGGACAGCTGCCTGCCAGACACCAAGTCCCGACGAAGCTGATCAGGTAGTGCTCCAAGTAGCATGGCAATTCCACGCTGTTCAATCCGTTGAAATGCTGGGTCCACTTCAACTTGAGGTTTCGATCTCAGCCTCTCCAGCGGACTCAGTCGCAGCCACCGGGAGTAGTGCTCCTGCGCCACCATCAAGGACTCTTCCCACCAGGCCTTCGCCGAGTTGGAGATGTCAGCCATCAGCGGGAATGCCATAGTCAGCCAGTCGCCGAAGAGAATCGAAGCTCCTTCTCCATTGGGTGCTGGAAGTGAGGGAAGCTCCAAATTTCGCAGAGCCTCGGTCGTCGATGCCACGGGAATTCCAGCCCCAATTCTGGTCACCTTTCCTGCTCCACCACCAAACCCTGATGACAATGTCCCGGTTGTGGTCTCATGTAATCCAGGGGGTCGATCAGGTAGTGACTCACCAACACCATCACCAGAGTTCCCACCTTGACCATCAGTGGAACCACGAAGTTTCGCCCGCTCGCCCACACTATTCGCCGATTCAAACGTCGACGAACCTCCACCACCTGTCAGCTTCTTGACCTCCTTCTCAAAGTTCAAGTGGGCTTCGCGAAGGATGCGCTCCCGGATGGCTTCCAGCTCCTGAGACGTCGGGCTTCTCTTCACCTCTTCACTAGGGGGTCGAGGACGTTCAGAACGGGATGCCACATCAGGTGCACGTCCACGGTCACTCCAAAAAGGATTGGTCTGCTGCCGCCCATGTTGATGGGGTGTGGACATGTCGTAGGGCTCAAGTACTCTAGGTTGTGGACCACCTTCACCATTCATGCTGCTCCTGTCCGCTCTCGGCGGAATCGGAAACTGAGGCGATGACGCTGCCTCCCGCTGCCAAGCCCCTTGCCCTCCAGGTTGTCCCGGATCATCAGCGCGAGGGTGTCCTGGATCGCGGCCATGAAATAGAGGTCCAAGTAGTCCTTCAGGAGGCGGAGGTCCCACCGGCATCGGTCCTTGGGAAGTTGATCCAAAGGCCCTTTGCAACACCTCGAGGGATTGCCTCACCGTCTCCTGCCAGCCAGCTCCTCGGTCATGCCGTTCAGATGCTGGACCTTGTTGTCTTCCATCAGCTCCGCTTGCCGCCGTCGAAGATCTTCTCGCCTCGCCAGCCGCTGGAGCCCCTCCAACTCTCTTCACAGCAGGTGGCATTGAGGTTGCCCTTGCCTCCTCGAGGAGGGTGTCTAGCCTCTCGTCAGCTGCTCCCACACGTAGTTGCCCTCCTCGATCTCCTGGATCCCTCAGCCTGCCTCCTTCGCGGGAGGAGCGCCGCCGCCGCGCCATCAAGCCGCTCATGGGGACCAGCGACCTCAAATGAGGGTGGACTTCAAAAGCTCCTTGGGCTCATAACCTGTGGTTATGGAAAAAGCCTCAAGAGCGACCGACAAAAAACAGCCGCTCACGTTGTTCCTTGAGCCAAACGCAGGTCGTATTGACCGGTTCACCTTTCTCAGGTGTTCATGACCTTCATGAAAAGGTATGCTTTGGGTCGTGCGTTTTTCCATTCACAGACTCAATATGTATATATATATATGACTCAATCAGAGAATGGAACCAATATATATATATATATTATATTGGTTCCATATATTATACAGTATATTGGGGAAGGACTTTCCAGATTCCAGATTCCAATATATTAGCAATATTAGCAACGTGCCAGACAGATGACTTCACTGATGACAGATTCCAGATGACTTTACCTACTTAGTCTTCACTGTAGTGATGCTGCCTTCATCGGAGGTTTTGGCAGTCGCTCATATATTGAATGGACAATACATCTACAGGGGGTCTATCAACCACCCTTTGGGTGGTGCTGGTATATTCGAGTAACAGTGAGATTCCAAGTGTACAGTCCGTCAATGTGTGCACGCACCGTCCGGGATGTCTAGACTTAACATATACTGTCCACATCTGTCCACATACCAAGTAGTTTTGGCTGCATGTTTTAAAATCTACCTCGGAGTCAATCCGAGAGGCCAATTCACAAGTGTTGCTCCTTATCTGTGCGTTGCAAGCTGGATCTACTGAATAACATATGATTATCTGTCTTCAAATTGGTTCCACAAGCACTGGATGGGTTGTCCGTGTCCTTTCTACCGCCGAGCCGCCCTGGGGGGACCATCGACAAGGAGTTCAATACCAGTGTGAGAATCATGCAGAACAGTTTGAAACATCAAGCAGAACTGCCCAAGTTGGAGGATTCGGGTCTCGTTTCAACGATTTTTCGGGTTATTGACATAACTACTGACATAACTACTCCTGAGAACAGGACACATCTGAGACACATATCGAATACATCCATGCAGCACGCCTGCATGGATGTAAGCCATGATTTTGAGACCATACCCATAGTACGCTCCAATCGGTGACCCTACCCATACCAACGTGCGTCCACGCCTCTTTTTGGGATCTCGTCGACCTTGTGCGCTCCGTCCGGCTCCGCTGCTCTCCCTCCGTCTCGCGCCGGAGCCCGGGTGGCGCCTGGTTCAGGGTCTCACGGAGCGCCTGGGCCTCCTGCAGCGTCCTCACCTCGGTTCACTGGGCGCGTGCGGCGACTGGACGCGATGGATGGAGGATCCGAGTAGAAAAAGATGCAACAAAAAATGAAGCCAAGAGAGTTATCTCGGGGTATGGGGGCTTTAGGGGGTATGTTGATTATCCTTTAGTGCATAATGACGATCTTCTACATGTGTGCACTATCTCAACATCGTCTTGAGATTTCGACTGTCTCAACATCCTGTATACACCTTGTGAATGTAAATGCATGTGAATGCCTTGTGAAATGTGAATCAACAAGAATGAACATCTCAGGAGGACACCGACTTCTCTGTGAGGCAGATACAATCCCACTTTCTGTGGCTTGCTGATGCCAATTGGATCAACTGACACTGTCTGTAGGTCGGTCTGGTCGGTCTGTCATCCGGCGTGAGAGACAAATCCGAAAAACCCGGTCGGACCGTCCCCGACAGACAGGCACGAACCATCATGACTTGTTTTCTTTTTGGAAAGATATGCATATTACAATTATAATGTATATATATATTACTAGAACTTTAGTGATCTTTTCCTATCAACACAAAGGTCAACATTGGGTTACGAAAAGATGTTATTCCATATATAGATTTTATATATATATATATATGTGTTTAATGATTTTTTTGGAGCTGCTCACTGAACTCATTTTTTTAAAGAGTCTCCACCCAATGAGATGGTTTTGGTTACCAGTGAGGTGCCCCACCAGTGAGTCGCCATGGACCATCAAAAATCCACATACCAAAACAAGTGGGTGCCTATCCTACATGGCAGTGGGTCATGGCACCCGGGCGTTGACCCCCTCGTTTCATGCCTTTAGTGTTTCGGGGTGTCAACCTCCGGCTTGGTGGGGAGGTTGAGTTTCTCAGCCATATTTCTCAAAGAACGGCAGGAAGGGGCACCACATCCCCCTCCCAGAATCCGGGTCTGAAGCTTTCTCCGTGGGTCTTTCCCCTCAACCATCTGACACCGAGATACACAGCGGGAGGAGATGGCGATGCCCGAAATGATCGCACGGGCAAAATAGCCTGGGGACGGCGATGCACGCGGATCCAAGAGTTGCTGGTTTGATGTTGTCCCTGTCAAGCATTTGGAGAAGGAATAGTCCAACAATGTCCTAAGGAACTGTATTGAGATACCCTCGTTTTCACGCTTCGAATTGTTTTAGCTGGGTGCGTCATACTTCTGTGAGCTATTCAGGGTACCAATTCCAGGACGATCTATAACTCTGGTACGACGATGCAAAACGACCGCCAGTAGGTTGGTCACTCCAGCACAGATGAGCAATCTCTGTGATGCAGAGCCAAACTCTGGACGGGTTGCTCGCAACCTATCCCGCGACTGGCACCATCGGCACCAAGACATACCATGGCATCGTCAGGTGACATCGTTTTTTTCAATCTCCTTGCCAGCAACCGACGCCCAGCTGGCCACCATGCCGCCCAGCCACGCACTTGGCCATCCTGACCCTTGATCATCGAAATGCCTGCGGCTTGACGCAGCAGGCTCTTGTGTGACTGTTTCTTGGATTTTGTGGGTCTTATTTTGCGAGCCGCAGGCATGTTTTCGTGTCCTGCGACATGGCATGCTCGGCTCACGCCTTTCAACGGCCTCGTCTTGATCGGGCTTGTTGCTGAAGGCGCCTGGAATGTGCAGGCAATCACCCGTCGTGGTTCGGAGATCAAAGATGTAAATTCAAAACCTGGCGTCGGGCAGCCGAGATGTTCTCTCTGTCATGCATTTCACATCATTTCACTCTTGCCCAAGTGAGGTCTATGATTATGGTTCAGCACCTACAATCTGCTGCCCAAGACTGAACCAACACAGCCGGAGACAGCATCCCTCTGATTGCTGACCGCTCCCGACGCAGATGCCTTGCGTTTCCCAAGGACCTTCGAAACGGACGACCTCGGCCTTGGCCCCCGGAGAGGTTGTAAGAGGAGGTCATGATCACAGTGATTATGGAGGTCTGTGGTAGTTGACACCTTGTTTTTTGAGACTGACTTATCTAAATTGAAGTCACAAACATGGCCTGTTTAGACATGATACATCTCATCAATAATGCGAATTCCGAATCAACGACTTTCATCATATGCTATGAACAATTATTAAATGCTTTGTGTGCGATTGTAACGGTGTAGCATTACCAGCATTACAATACTTTCTGGTGCATCGCAAAACCTTTCTGGTGCATCTCAATTGGTAAAGACAAGAGCTGTGAATTGCTGAAGTAATTACACCTTTCTTTGCACGTAGGAATGCCTCTAGGATCTAGGAGCTCACTGCTCATTGGGTGAAGGTCAAAACATGCTATCATTCTGCTGCCTGTATCGCTCTTCAAGTTTCCCTATCGCTCTACACAGTCCCTCCCAATCAAAAAACGCTGAAGGCTACAATCTTTCTCAACCCGGAAGATTCGTTGCGGTTCCTCCCATGTGAACCACTGTTTCAACAAATTGCAAAGGCCTTCGACAAGCTCTTTGCTACGTGGCATGAGGAAATGCTTTTAGCGTTAGTGAGTTGTGGCTCTACACATGGGGAGGAAGCTAGGGCTGGACTTCTAAGGTATCACTCCAGATATCCGTTGGTATCGGTTTGGGTATCGCTCTACATAGACTCTACAAACAACGTTTTTCCAAAACATACGTCACATAACAGCATTGATGGATATTTATAGTTCGCATATTGCCCTTTTCCTCTTGCACTCGCCGAACACTTTATGAATTGGCTGGTTCGCATATTCCTGGAATAGTATCGCTCCTCAGGATTCGTATCTGGACCCACAACTCACACCGGAGCTCCCGGACGTCTGGGCGGCGATCGCCGGCCTAGGTGCGGAAGCCAGCTTGGGGAAACATGCGCAAAGGAACCAATAGGGGGGGCATTGGCAACACCATAGCTGGAAACCAACATCAGATAGCAAAAGACAGGTTTGGTATTACTGTGAGTGTGGTGCATACCTATGGTGAGCCATGAGATATCACGAGACTTCTTCCTGCTGGCCACTTTCGCTCTCTGTAGGACCCTTCTCCGCACAGTCAGAGTCGCACCTCTGTAGGTGTTGCAGCTCCATGTGCCGCCTGGCAAAGAATGTGGGAATTCAAAGCTCTGTCCAATGATGGCTTTGGTTTCGAGACTGGGAGGACTCCAGCGCAGTCCTCCTCGTTCGACCGTGAATGACGGGCGCTGTCATTCTGACAGTGACACCCCTCCTGCAAGGAGAAACTGGCCATGATTGGACAGCAGGTTGTTCCCCACTACACTTTATGCACATCTTGTAATCTTGGAACAGGCGCCCTCTCTCGTTAAACAAGGGCAAATATCATAGGTTCAGAAGCAGATGTTTCTGCTTGTCAGAAGCATCTCCGCGAGTCCCAGGATTTGGTTGTCCGTCGCCGTTCAGGTAGAAAACGCAACACATCATCGGAAACATCTGACAGTACATCTGACAGCGAAAATGAACCAGCAAACCAGAATCAGAATCTCTGGTGGGAATACTCCTTCATGCCGATTGTTGGTCATCGTTGATCAAACCCCCAAAAGTGAGGATGTTGGACCGTCGAGGGGAGGAGGAATCACAAGTCGACGGGTTTTATACTCCAAAAATCTCTCCGAGCGGCAGCAGGGCACTGCGCAGTCGTTCTGACAAGTACTGCAGCGCCGTCAAACCTGAAAGTCAAACATCTCGGATGGGACGGGCTGTATAGGAAGTACTTGACCGTGCTGCCGTTCACAGTGCGGTCTTCCTTTGAAATGGAACGGCATTAGTGTGTATCATCTCTGCTTGGTGTGGAGGTCGAGGCCCTATCTGCTTCGTTGGATGCGGAGACGACGTGTCGCGACTGAGACGAGGAGACCGACTCGCAGGTCACAGATCAGCGACACCGTCGGCACAGATCCGGTCTTTGAGCCCAAGGAAAAGCCGTCCAGGTCTTTCAGCACCACGACATGTAATGGTAACGTAACTACATGTAACTACCATGCCTTCATTTGTCAGTCACCTGCACACCCACAGCCACATGTAACTACCGTGTCAGAATTCCGCTCGAACAGGCAGGTTTGTGAGATGCATCCTAATTTGAGAGAACTCTTATTTGCAGATCCCACGGTTCAGTCACGGTTCAGAATCCCAGATAAAGGACAACCATGGACAACCCTTCAAAGTGTGCAGTCATCCAGGTATATATTGGTACTGTACTGTCGATATCGTTTGCGATCCACACCGACCAACCAGGACAAAGCCGCTGCGCTCTCGCCCTCGGCGCCGGTACGTTGCTGCGCAGGCAAAGCTGCTAAAAGCTTCTGTAGCCTTTGCCTGGGAGCGAAATGGACACCATCTGGAGCGAGTCTGTCAGTATATGCCGAGTGACTCCGAGTTTGGCGTGTCTGTATGCCGCAGTGTGGAGCATGGTCAATTGCATACTACGACAAACAGTGGATGGAGGTAATCTATACAATAGTCTAAGCCTTAAGACACAGAAGTAGCAGTACAAAGGAACCACCGCAGCTTGTTAGACTCTTCCCCACTGAACACGTCCTGTCATTTTTCGATCCGTAGGGGCGATCCGGAGGTTCAGCCCACGTCGATCCGTTCAGATCCAGCGGCAATCCATGTTCCAGAAGTTCTTTCGGCTTGCGTCGGACCTGGAAGTCTTGGCGAACACAAAGAGAGAGAGAGAGAGATTGACAAACAAAAACGATTGAAGGTTGGGATGCATCTCTGCTTTCTAAACCACACCCGCAGCATGCAAACCGGCTGCAAAATCCATGGACATGTCACTGAAAGCTGTTCCTGATGAAAAAGGGACATCACGTGAAATAACAAGAGCAAGTGATCCAGCTGCAGCGCTCAGAAACATGTTCCTCGGTGCCACAAAGCAAAACATGTTCGACCACACCTCTAGAAGCTGCCAGGAGCATCCCACCAACACAAACAACACCTGACAACATCTACACTCCCACTCTGCAAGTTTTGGACACCTCATTATTATTGGCAGATAGTGTGAGTGGGTATTCAATATGTATTCGTTCCTCTCTGTAAACTGCACAAAATGATTGTCCCATCTGATGTCTTGCCCACGGGTTGCAGGATTCAGTACAGTGAACATTCTGCAATGTCCTGTTTTGTGCACACCCCAAGCAGCCTCGAAGGAGTCCGGTCGATTGATCTTCGCTCTTACTAGGCTAACTGTCCGACCTCTGCGCAATCCCTGAGGTGCTGGCAAGCACAGCCATTTTCGCTGTCTGTGTTCAGTTGTAGGCAGTCAGAAACTGCTACTACTACTTGAACCTCAGTGAAAAACACTCTCAACCTGTCTCCTTTCTTTTCAGCTGGATGATCAGAAATTGGAAAAGCTGCACATTCCCATTGGGGGTAAAACGACATGCACTTACTGTACTAGTAACAGATCCTGCAAACCTTCTATGAAGAACAGTGACAAAGATTGACAAAGCATGTCGATATATGTCTATCTTTCTCCATCCTCATCCAAAGCTTGGGGACATCACATTGCGACAAACTATAGTGGATATATAATAAGTATAATAAGGGTTACAAAAAATGAGCAAACGTCTACATCAGATAATTACAAATGCTGCTGTTCCTGCTAGCCTTGGCTCGTCTAGGCTCCAGGCTACTACTACCTCGGTGCACGGCAGCACGAGCGAGCGTTTCACGGTCGCACCAACGGTGGACCAACGCAGTTCCAACAAAATCCGTCGGACGGCGCGACACTTCATTCCATTCTCATTCCCGGAGTTTCTGGCCTCTTAAAAGGCTGAGATGCGCAAATATGCGCAAATTGGCGTCGTTTCTCATCCAATTTCCACGGGTCTTTTGAAGGATGCCCCAGCATCCCCTTGCTGACAGTCCTGAAAATTCACCTATCTTCACCTCATATCTCGATGTCGATGGCTTGCAAGTGGGGTACATAAACCCCCAGTTCGAACCCTTTCAGGTTCGCCATTGATGCTTCACTGTTTCACTTCACTGATCCATCCTCAAGTGCCTCCGTCTCCAAAATCCAGCCGATTGGTGGCAATCCAAGTGGCTACTACTTCGACTGGTCATGTCACGCTGGCAAGTCTCGAAAGTCTTCGATGGAGTGGACGACCTGGGGGAAACTGAGCGGTGCGAGGATTTTTCAGACCAGTTTCCACCCTGTCTCTGAACATTTCCAGGTCTTTACTAGTGATGAGTCGGATAATACTGCTTGATTCATTGATCTAGGATGCATCAAATTTGAAGTTGATTGATTGTACTAATGCAATTCCAAATTGGAACAGTTCCTGGCTAAACACACGTGTCAAGAATCCTCATTCCCATTGCAAACCCGTACACACATTGCGATGAGTTACACACACTTCCAAATCACTTACCAATTGAAGAAACGGCATCCGGATCAATTGGAACTGGCAAGCTATCTGAAGATATTTGACCTAGTAACTATCCGGTGAGCAACAGGACATCTAAGCAGAAGAACGTAATGGAACTTCCATCAAACCACCGTAGGATGCGCCAAGTGATACAACATACACAGGCCAGCGCACATAGCAATCTCGAAGTTCATGGCGGCCATGTTTGCAACAAAGAAAGTCACCTCAAAGAGTTGTGTGAAGCACTGGACTCGATAAACACATGCAAACATGCAAACTTGTTCAAGGACTTGCTATCTAGTGTGTTTTATATAATATGATGTGATAAAGTGCGTTTCAACATGGCGTGACCAAAAAGAGCATCGCCTCACAGGTGACCTTAACTATCGATACTATAAAGAACAAATATGCTTGCAGTGCTAGCTTACTCATGACGCATTATTGGCATTATTGGCTTGAATTATTCGTATCACAAGTCCCCACTTTTGGGCGACACTATCATCTGTGTTTCGTATCTCTCTGTAGGTGCAAAACTCCCAATGTTGACCTGTTTGGTGGTCTGGCAATGTTTCTTTTTGAGCCTTTCATTGTCTACAAGACAAGAGTTGCCGAGGCTCCAGCAATGAGACGTTTTTGGAGTGAGCCTTGCAGAGGATCTGCAAAGAGCCAAGATCTGCGCAAAGCACGGAAATTGCCCTTTTCGCTGCTCAGCTTAACCAAAAAGACAGGGCGCCCTAGAACTTGTCCAATTTAGATTCTGCTTTGCCGGAAACTGGCAGTATTTCCTCAGCCGACCATGTGCCCAACTGCTGCGCGGCGCTCTCTTTCTTTTTTGAGCTAGCTGGCACCGACATTGCTCGTGTGTCGCTCGCGCAATCTCGGCGTCCAGAAAGATTCACCTGGGGAGATTCGCAGAAGACGAAGCGCTTTAAGGACGCCCCTATACTCCCAGGTGATCAACTCCCACATGAAAAAAATGATGGTAGCTTAGAGATTAATATAGCTGTGAGATCTACTCCAGCATCATCAAGGTCTCTGGGACACGTCAAGATCTGGGAAGGACTGGCGCTCCCAGGTTCAGTGCCAACGGATGGTTTTACGCTTCCATGTTAGTTTGGGGCAGGGTAGTATGTGCTCGTTCCTGCATCCTTGCATCATGTTGAAGGTTCTCATATGCCCCCACAATCAGTTACAATCAGTTGCAGAACCAGGATGTCAAACGGAAATGAATCAACAGTCAAGATTGCTTCATACAATCACAAGCAAACTCAATACTCAAACCTTTCACCATACCCACCGGAATCACCTAAGCCGCCCGAGTTATGACGGACGACTCGACGGATCTTCTCCTGGGCACCCGGACGACTCGTGATTACACGTCGTGAGCTGAGCATGCGCCGGCTCGACATGGTGTCAGAGATCCAATTCTTGCGGATGACCAACTCTGTGCCCTCGGGGCGTCCTCCAACCGAACACAGACATCTCATCTCTGCTTGCAGCTTCTTCTTGGTGTTAATCTAATCTGTGTCATGGTCGCTCCCACCATGTGGGGGCCGTTCATCCTATCACTAAGGGCCCTTGTACAGTTTTTTAAGCGTCCCTATTGACATTCAACAGCTGATGAAACTATGTGCGAAACGTCGCACCAACACAGCAAATCAACAATCAACACGATTGGACAAGGTCAGTCACACTAAAACAAGGTCAGTCACAATGGACAGGCATCTCTTGGACAGGCATCCTATAAATTTGCAAGTGGACGACATGTAGGAATTGCAGGCAGGTAACCCCTACCTACTGGCGAGCAAAACAAACAAGCTGGTGCATTTTCTTCAAGGATATCCCCCACTCTGACTTGGTTAGTCAAACTAAACTCTCAGTCAGAGTGAGCTGAACCCTGAGTGAACATCCAGGTTCACATTGAAGGTTAGCGTTCTGTTGAGACCCTCCAACTAGGGCACGACGAGTACGTAGGTTTGAGATGGTGTTAGTCTAGGTGTCGTCCTTTTACAGTCTCCTCTCTACTAAGACTCGCCACTTAGGAACTGAGAAGAACACAAATCCTACCGGGACCAAGGCGTGATGCAGGATGGTGTGTTGGTCCTATAGAGCTCAGCCATCCCCTTGTTTGGCGAGCTGGTGTAGCAAGACAGGTCACATCCTCGACGATGATGATCAATATAATAAGACCCTCTCATATGAAGAGCTGTTGCACTCCAAATGGGCAGGGGGTGTTCTTAATCAAGAGATATCAAGAGTCTACATTCAGATGCTCATGAGTCTTCAGAGTCTTCCTCAGAGCCGGTCGTAAGTACTCTCTCACTTGAGGTTTTGGTCTCAGGCACCACCAACCAGTTGGTCGTCCTGCTTGGTCGAATTCGACTGCTTCTGTTTTCGCCCTACCACTGGTAGACGGCCATGGCCAAACCTGGGGGGTTCCTGCGGATTGGCCACGAACTAGGCAAACCTGTCACTGAAATTCCGCAAAACAAACAAACAAACAAAAACGAGACACTGTTGCGCGCACACGGGAGTTTTCATGAACAATCCTCCTGGCATCTATTCATAGTTGCGCTCTCTCTCTCTCTCTACCTTTCTTTTTGAATCCATATGGCCACGGTGTAGTTGTTCCACGGTCGGTTTCTACGGTCTTCTCTGTCGCATCCGATTCGGATCGAAACATCCTATTCAATCCAGCGCTGTGTTTTTGTTACCCCTCATCAAGTATCAGTTGTTTTGAATCGTTGAGTTTTTGTCTGGAGTTCAAAAAACAGACTCACACGTTTTGAAAACTCCTTGAAATATTCGGAAGTAGAGTTCACCACCTGTTTGTAGAGGAAACTAGTCATCCAAGGGGCCCTTTTCATCCCTGTTCCGCTTCCAGGATCGCTTCAATGAGAGTAAGATTGGCATCCCCCCCCGGATCTCAAACTGGCTTTCCGCCTTTGCTGGGCGTGACTGGCTGTGACCAGCTGGCCTTGACCAGCTCCCCAGTGTTCAACGGGGGAGCGGCCAGGAACCTAGAAAAGAAGCTGATGCTGATGGAACCAGGCTGAGCCAGTGGCCCAAATCTGGGGAACTGGGCTACCAGAGATGTCACTTGATTTGAAACGAAGAAGGAAAGGTGACCAACTGAACTGGTCGAGTTCGGAACCAAATAGATCTCCTCTGATTCATTCTGTAACATGTACAGTATTTTCCTGGGATGTAGAGTTCTGACGGTTCCACTCTTTGACAGACTCTTTGAAAAGAAGCTGTTGAGGGAAATGCTGATCTTGAGCAAACCCTGGGTTACAAATGGTATCTCAAAACTTCTGGAACATACATTGTGGGCAAGGAAGATGGACTTTATACTGATACTCTGCAAACTGCTTCATGAGGAACATCTGCTTGGCGCCGAGGCTGGAGCAAGCTGCCTCCATCCAGCATCGTTCACATCTCCAATCACCTCTTCAAGATTCAAGATTCCCCTTTGGGGACTTAATTTGATCTGAAGAGAGATGTCCACTACCTCCTGTCTTTCGAAAAAGAGATGGGGTAGCGGACTGAACCTACCTGTCTCGCTTGTGGGCGAGCAAAAACGATGACGCGCCGTCTTTGTCTGTAGCCGCACTGACCGAAACCACCAAAGGGTCTGACTGAAACGGAAAGTAGAGATGTCATCTATCCATCCTAGCAGTATCAGAGATCGGATCCCAAACCGACCCCCTACAGCCAACGGAAGTCCTACACAGCCTTGGTGGATCCGGGCGTTGGTTTCTTACCCCCCCAGCAGTGGTGTTTTCGTGTGTTGATCCAAATAGAACACGCCAACAAGAACCTGCTTGGTCAAACGGGATGCCGCCAAATCGTTGCCAGGATCACTGCGGTAGTGTCACACTCAGCTTGAGTGACACCAAGATACACCAAGCGAATCCCCTCAAGTCAAAAAGTGCCTCGGGCACCATTTCGATTTATTTGTCGAAGCCTAAGAGTTGAGCTACTGCAGTATTGTTGCAAAGCAAACCAGGTCAGGTCAAGCCATGGCAATCACTTGTCTCAAACAACTATGAAACCACCATCAGAATCCACCTGCCAGAAAGCCATCATGCCATGGAAACCCTTGTGTAGACCTCTGACCTCTGGAGAGACCCCGAAGGATACGGGTCAATACCTTAACACCCCAAACTGGTTGAGCTTTGCAAATCACTAGTCACTAGGATTAACTGTTCATAAACCAATAATAATCACACTATATCAAATTGGTATATAACATCTATAAATGTATATTATCGGGATGTTGGATTCTCTTTCTTATCATTGTTCTACCTTTAGTGAATGGACATGGAGGGTAAAGAGAAACAACTCGAGGATTGGCTTCTTCAGGTGTTTCCCCATCTGGGCTCACGACCGGGCGGGATGGAAAGAAAAAAAGCCGCGGTCAGTTCACTACAGCGGTTCCGGTCGGTTAAGCCTTTTGTTCTTCGACACCGTACATCATCATCAATCGAAAACCACATGAAAGACAAGGATATAGGGTCAGGGTCGTTTATGGTGAAACCCCTTTTTCATCTGGGTCCCCAGAAGATTTCCCGCACTGTCCTTCACCAATCAAAAAGAGGACCCCAGACTGGTTCGTGTTCAGATCACCCCAGACGGGTGGCAGGCAAGCCACCCCAGATCAGTTCGTGACAGAGAGCTCTCCAGCCCGTCATGACTCATGAAATGTCAATATAGGAGAAGTCTGACGGATGTCCTTCAGCCCCAGTCATGCAGCCGGTCAGGCGACATTCCGGATTGATGACTGGCAAGCTCACCAGTCATTCAGCACAGTTTGTCTCTGGGCAAAAATTGTATGGCAAGCACATCAGTCAGCAGTCCATCCCTTTATCTGCACATCGACAAACCCAAGAATTTGGCGCAATGCAAACACTCTCATCTTAAGAGATAAAAGTCCACATCCTAACTTGCGAGAGACGCCCAGGACAAACTCTTTGCAGCACTTGGCAGCCGCTGGGGCGCACTCTGCAGCTCTTGGCAATAAAACCGCCGGCATCGGGGCGGATCACAAGCACGCCAGGAGCTGCTTTTCGGAAAATATGCTGTCCTCCACTGAAAAGCACCAGAAAACACCATGTGGAACAAAAAACCAACCATCCATAGTGACGTGTTTCCTTGCAACATCTTGCAACTCAGGTTCTTTTGTCTCCAGAAATTCCGGAGTAGCTGTGGAGCTCGGCTGTTTTCGCATCGGAGCATCGGCTGGGAAACTTTGCACCCAACGCCACCGGCGCTAAGAAAGCAGCGCTGGACATGAGGCCCAAAGTACTAGCTTGCTAGATCCGACTCTGTTGGGTAAAACTAGTAAATCCTTTTTTGATCGTTTTTGAGATAACTCTCTTGGCACACGAAAGGTAAAGAACCACTTTTCATTATAGTTGTCGATGAAATTTCTAGATGAATCTCTCATGGGTTCTCGTCTACAGAAATCATCAGCGTCACATCATGAAGGAGTAAGGCTTGCCTTCGCAGGGCAAGCACTCAACAATTAAAAACTAAGCCATGTGTTTATTGCCTGCTTTTGTATACCTTTCACGTTGTGTAAATTTGATGTCGGGGTGTGGTGTTGAAACACTTCAATGTAAATCCTATGTTTAATAAACAGTAGGTGTTTGTACACGTGCACGTGTGAGTGA